AGCAGACAATAATGAGGCTTGGGTTATTGTCTCAGGTTCAGCACACTACATGGTGCCTGCTGCTTTTATCCTGCTCCTCCACATACAGGAAGCAAAAGGAAACAAAACTGCTTCTAAAATAGTGCCACTGACTGAAAATGCACAGTATATGGAAATGCTGCTGTGCTGTTTGGGATATGTGTGCAAAATGAATCCATGACAACAGATTCCAGTAAGTGGTAATATTCATTGGTCGCCTGGTGTAAACCTGCAATAAAAAAAGGAGAATTCATTTAAAAATGTAATAACAGAGACCAGAAATATCACTATCCATAAAGATATTTTAAAATACACAGATATGCATCAGTGACTGCACAGATGGGGGAATTTAGAGGTTTGGTTTGCTTTGGTTTGTAGGTTGTTTGCTTGTTTGCACATACAGTACATGCAAGCTGTCTGCTTGTGACATTTATTTGCCATATTGCTGTCAAATTCAGAAAACCATGTGAATTACAAAAAAAAGATGTATGAAATGCAATGATATAGTGTAATATTGTTCAGATAATCTTTGGTAGATAAAGAATAGGTGAAATTATTATGCAGTGTTTTATCTAAAGTTAATACAGAAAAGCCTGAAAGGGAATGTTTTAATAAATAAAAATAATTTGGTCTGCAGTACAGCTGCTCTCAGAAAAATACTAAAAAGAAACTCAAGGTGAATCTGATTCAAAGACAATTGGGTTCAGTCATTCTTTCATTTATGTGTCAGAGAGCATGAAGGACACTTTTTCGAGACGGAAAAAGGAGTTTTGGACCAATCAGATAGTAACATAGAAAAAGGAGAGTATAATGGACACAGTGATGCCAGGTCACAGTGTTCCTTATCCTGCAGAGATTTTGCTCTGGAGGGGACAGATCGCAGTGACACAGCTACCTACTGAATGTGCATCACATTATTGTAACATGACAGGTGCAGCTTCTCCTATTAATGGGACTCTCTGCTACTGTTTGTAACATCTGATTACTGGTGACATTACACTTGCTTTTTCTCCCTGAACAAAGGGTGATCGAGGCTGTGCCACCCTGCCTGCAGCTCACTCAACACACTGACAGAATAGGTTAGTAATGATGCAGCGTGAAGTGACTGATAGCTAAGTGTGTGTGCCATTAATGGAAAGTGACAGGCTCATTTTCCTGGTGATGCTGGTTTTCACAGCACATGGTAAATGTTTCAGAGTTGAGAGTTGCAATCCATTTTTAGGATTCTGACAATGTCATGCCCTTTCACGTCGGCTTACTTCGTCATTAATTGAATACTTGAAAAATAGACTTCTCAGCTCCAATGCATGCATGGTAATTTTACTGTCATTAAGCTATTATGCTCAGTCTTGAGACCTGACTTGTGGATTCATTTGTGTGAGAAGAACTGACATGTCTGAACTCTTACGATGGGTAAGAAAAAAGAAATAGTTACTGTAGACAAAGAACTGAAATTGCATTGTTGCTTAGTACAATTTGTAAAATTACAGAAACAGCTTACCTAATGTATATCATTTTGGTACCTTATATTCACTCTCTTTATCAGTGTAAACTGTGTAAAGATGTTTTTTTGTGTGTGTGTGTGTGTGTGTGTGTGTGTGTGTGTGTGTGTGTGTGTAGTGTTCTTAAACAATGACAGTACTTTGTGGGCAACCAACCCAAGATCTCCCACTTCTATCACTATGTGCTCCTCTCAGAACAACACTGTCACCTCTACACGAACAGATCCTTTGGTCTGTAATAGTGATTTCCAAGTGAAAAACATTTTGTTCTGTCTCCCTCGCTTTTTCTTTCCTTGTCTCAGATGCATGTTTTCAGAGGACTGGGATGGATGGTTTGATCCTGGGGGCTGGTGACACTGAAGTCTCGGTGAAATGTCTTTGACTGGCAATACAGGCCAGTCCTCTCCGTCAGCAACAGCACAACCTCTATCTTTCAACAGCTCCACCTCTCAGCATCACCCACCATGGGAGGAGGACAGAACCAGTCATGAGTCTGTACAGGAGTGGCTGGGGAATAATACCCAGCGCCTCTCTGACCTCTCTGCTCTTGGGCATGATGATCAGTGCTATATGTCTCCTGTGCTCACAGCATGTCTGCTAGTGTGGTACAGCATTACAATGGTGCTGGGGCTGGTGGGGAACATTGGCCTCATTTGCATCATCACCCATTGCAGAGAAAAAGTCAATGTCACCAGCATTTTCATATGCAACCTGTCATTCTCTGACGTTCTGGTGTGTGTGTTCTGCCTGCCCTTCACCGTCATATACACAGTAATGGACCACTGGGTGTTTGGGTCACTGTTATGCCGGCTGGTGCCGTTCATTCAGTGTGTGTCTGTGACTGTGTCAGTACTGTCTCTGGTGTTCATAGCCCTGGAGAGGCATCAGCTCATCATTAACCCCTCTGGATGGAAACCGAGCATTCCTCAGGCCTACATGGCAGTCGTTGTCATTTGGATTCTGGCCTGCTTCACCTCCTCACCTTTCTTGGCCTTTCAGCTACTCACAAATGAGCCCTACACCAATGTAATGCTGCCACAGATTCCAGTCCATCACCAAGCCTCTCCTCAAGCTTATCTCAATGCATCTCCATCTCTACCTGCATACCACACGTCCAAAAACTCATCTGTGATCTCAAATTCATACCGCACCCTTTTTTATGTCCCTATCTCTCCACATATGGAAGCCTGTTTGGAGCACTGGCCATCCCAGCAGCACAGGCTTGCCTACACCACATGGCTCCTGCTGTTCCAGTACTGTGGTCCATTATTGTTGGTCCTGCTATGTTATGTTAGAGTTTTTGTGCGCCTTCGCCAACGCAAGGACATGCTGGACCGTGCCAGAACCCCAGAGAGACAGTGCATGACCCACAGCCGCCGAATCAACATCATGCTGGTTGCCCTCATAACAGCTTTTGCTCTTTGCTGGCTGCCTCTCACCATCTTCAACGTGGTGTCAGACTGGAACCAGGAGGCTCTGCCTGTCTGTCACCACAACCTCCTATTCTCCCTTTGCCACTTGCTAGCCATGTCCTCCACCTGCATCAACCCCATCATCTACGGCTTCCTCAACTCCAACTTTCGGCAGGAGGTGAGACAGGTGCTCCTGCGCTTCTGCTGCTGCCCACAAGAAGAAGAGAGTGAGCGTTTCCCCATGTCCACTGTGCATATGGAAGTGTCCCGCACGTCTGTGCCTCTCAACTGCCGGAGCAACTCTGTCTGACTCTGTTGTTATAACCTGAAGGATTCTGCTATAGTAGGATGCAGGAATAACTTATACCATTTGTTCTAACTTTAATGACAGTACAAAGTTCAGTATAGTACAGTGTTTTAAAGTGCAACATTTTTTCAGTGGTTTGAAGTGAAGTGTGCAGTGCACTATTGGTTTTTCTTATTTTGCAATATGTATTTATTAATTATAAAAATGCTTTTGTAAAAAAGTTTAGTTAAAAAAAGTTATTTTAAATGAATCTGTTACTGTATCCCAGTTCCTTGCTTCATACATTTTAAACAGTATATAGTATACACATTAATACAGAATACCGCTTTGCAGTTAGCATAAAAGAAATCAATATATGTGCCCACTTTTTTGCCAGTTAAAATGTGACTTCATTTTAACTTCACAAAAACAAAGCAAAATGTTTTTCCAAATATGCATTTTTATTTTACACACCTGTGATTTTCCCACTGTGACATTTCAACATGCCTGCTGTTGCCTATTGATTGATGAAAACAAAAGACAGAGCTCAGTTAGACAGCACACCCAACCATCATCACAGCACCAAAAGAGGGAATGCCTTTGGAATAAGGTACATCATTGCAGTTAGAGACTTGTAACAATGAGCACTGAAGCTGTGGGTTTTTCATTTCATTTGACATGGAACTGTACAGTAGGTTGTACTGTAAAGTAACACTTTTGTGCATTTTGTGATACAATAGCTGCATGTCAAAAATCATTTCTTTTATGAGCAGACTGCCACCATTGTATTTCTTACATTTTATTAGCCAGTTACTTTTGGCATTTGTGCTGTGGAATCAGAATGTGAGCTTGGTGAAGACAACTACAACGTCTATTGTGTTTGCTGATATATGTGACTTACAGAGGTAAGATCTGGCCATTTATAACACTGTTAAAGTATAACTTGAGCAAGGTTGAATAAATGAATGATGTGAAATGTGTGCACACAAAGCTTTTCATATAAATTGTGCTAAAGGAAATGAAATACCATATGCACATATATGGGAGAGGAGGGGAGGGTCAGTGTTGTCATGAGGGACGTTGACTGTGCTCCATGGTGGAAAAATACAATAAGACAAATTATAATTAATCAATCCTCTCTAGCTGTATAAAAACTATCTTCCAAAATAATATGTAGCTATCCAACCTGTAATTGCCAAATGCATATTGTGTACTGAATATTGTTTGAATGTGTGAGGCAGTTTCTTTCTGCAAAGACAATAAGGTTTCTGAAGACATCTGTAGTAAAAACACAAACAAAATATTTTTGAGTTTAAGTAATGACATGAACTCCTGAAGAACACTAAGTTATTCATGATAATTTAAATGAACTTAATAACTTGTTTTGAAAAGGATATCTGAAACTGACTGCATGTACAGTTTAAATTTTGGGTAACAGATGTAGACAATTTTAGACAGTCTTAATTTGATGAAAATCCAGGTAAACTCCAAATACACTCTAGGAGCTTGTCAGTTTGGCCAGAAGTCAAACTTATGGTCAGAAAGGGTATTATAATACATTTAACTTTTATTTATTATGTTTGGCCTACGATGAACATGATTTCACTGAAATTAAATCATTATACATAGTTATGCTGTTATCTGTAAAGAAAGACACAAAAAATTGCATCGTACTTGGAAAAGATTAATGGGTTCCCTAAAAGGAGTAGTTAAGGTTGAAGCCGACTTCGTAGGGCTCTTCTTATGTACCACATTCTCTTTGCTATCACTTCTGGGTTGGAAGTGACGTTTATTTCCTCCTAGCCAATGATTATCCTCGATCCCAGAATGCATTGCATCACAAACTACAGGCGCGACCGTTGAACACGTATTATAGTCAAATACTCAAACTTCGTAAAATAGTAAGTGAACATCAATTACTGCCAATATTAGTTGATGTTTGTATCGCTGACAGTCAAAAATATGTAATGCGTATTGCATTCACTAAGTAAACCACACCAGTATAAGGTTAGCTAAGCTAATCCTAAGAATCACCGAGCTAGTTGAGCTAGTGTAGTACGCTATTCTAACAGTGAAACGTAGCGTGACCAAACTTAATGATAAAGTAGCATCAACATTAGCGTTATAAGCAGCGTAATAGGCGTAGAAGCCACTGATGTTTAAACCATGATTTCGATCATATATATTGTAGTTAATCGAATCACATTTTTCGTATCTTTCTGCCTTCGTCAGC